ACACACACACACACACACACACACACACACACACACACACACAGTACTTGAAAGACTGTAAAAAGGGTATGAGATCACATAGCACTAAGCCATTATTAACAACCACATTAGACAAGCAAGAGAACTGGTGGTTGTTTAATCTCAAGTGATCTTAATGCAGCAAAGATATGTCAGTCTGCAGCAATAACTGTACCGTGTGTGTGTGTGTGTGTGTGTGTGTGTGTGTGTGTTGTGTATGTCAGTGCACAGACGTGTCCTCATGTAGACGATTTACAAAAGTGAGCAGGTATGCTGTAAATGTGTGTCTGTCCTTTAGATTGACAGCAACACAAATCATGATGGTCCTGCTGAAGATCCCAGAGCCCGCACTGTGAGTAACTCAGACCTGAAGCGTGTGTGCGCTTAAAAGTGACGACAACAATGACAGCATTTACCACATGATGACGTCCATTACTCTCTACTCATTCTAACCATATAGCCACAACTCGCTTGGCAGATTACATGGTGAGAGACCAACAAATTCACAGAACATCATCTGTCATATCACTTGAATAGTATTAATGACATTTTAGAATATCACACTTATCACACATTTATACTCACGGCTTGGTTCCTGTCAGGCAGCCGGTAGTTGTGGTTCTGCAGCAGCCGACAGCCGTCCTTGGCCAGCCGCTGAACGGCCTCCAGCCCCAGGCGGCTGGTCAGCTCCTCACGGCCACATACAGTCCCCATCCCTCCGCCACCGCCACCACCGCTGCCGCCACCGTCCCTCAACGCACACACCCCGCCCAGCTGCAACACAGGAGGCATGAAGACATATCTCAACCCACAGTCCCAAGACATGGTGGAAACACTCAAAGTGCTTTTGTGGAATGGAGGAATGCAGGAAAGTTCAATGTTTTTGTCCAAGGGAGAATGAACCCAGTGTGGGCATAATCCAGAAGCATGCACTGACACGTTTTCAGTTGCCCCTTTATGTCCATGTGAGGAGAATGAGAAGAATGAGAAGAAACGGTTATCCTGGGTCTATCTTGTTCTCTCTCTAATTCGTCTTTGTCTCTTATTCTTTCTATCCATTACTGTCTGTAATTCCCTGTATCTGTTGCACTTCTCTCTTTGTCTCAGTCTGACTGCTCTGTGTCAGAGGATCTGGCAGAGAGTGAGTGAGTGTGTGTGATTAGCAGTATAAGTGGGCGGGAGTGTGTGTCTGTGTGGGAAGAGTGTGTGTGTTGGTGGGTGTGCGGCTGTCTCCTCCCCTCTATAGTTGGGACTTGGAAATGTGTGAACCATCCTGAAGTAAATAAAAGTGTATAAAGTGTATGAATATAAACGTCTAACAGTTATAACTTTAAAAGAAGAGAATCAAAAAGAAACAAACACTCAGACAGAGAGACATAAAGTGAAAGCCATGACAACAGCAAGAGACAGAGAATATATTTCATTAAAAGAGCTGCAGGATACTGGAGTAACTAATAGCTGTGTCCTCGGAGAAACTTCGACAGAAAACACGACTCTGTGTGTGTGTGTGTGTGTGTGTGTGTGTGCTCCCTTGGGTGCTGGTAGTATGATGGTTATCACCAGTGGCGGGTAGCCTGGTCTGTTTATTTTCCTTGGAAGAGAGAGAGAGAGGGGTATTTCATTTGGCTGCGAGTTGAGTAACCCTTCCTGTGAGCTCAACTATCCCACAGTGCCAGGCTCTAGCAGAGGGTAACACACACACACACACACACACACACACACACACACACACACACACACACACACACACACACACACAAAATGGCATACTCCCATGCTTCATTTTGTTTACTCCCCCCAGTGACAGCTCTTATCTGGAAGAATAGCTACATACACACTGACAGAGACATTATATCAGAGCTATAGTCCTGTGTCCCTTGCTGCTTCCTGTTAACCTGTTTTCAGCTTCCTGTCCTAGACACAGAACACACACAAGATAAACCTGTCTGTGTGTTTGTTTTTTCTTTGAATGCTCTGTTCTTTCAGTAGGCTGAAAGATACTGAAACTAAATTAATCTCCAGTCCAGTTCATTTACAGTGGTGTTGAATTAGCAAAAACATTGTTTGTGAAACCATAACTACTCTGTACATCAAGGACCAAAAATTAAAGACGTCTTGGATTTCCTCGTGTCATCCTTGACATTTTCGTAGTTGTGTGCAATGTGGGTTCCCTGGCTCTTTTCTCCGATGTGCTGTCTTAACATGCTCGGTCTATATTTGTCAGCGAGGCTTGTCCCTGAAGCGTGAAATCCACTTGTAAATACACATTAATGTCAATGTTTATTGGCAATTTATCTAAAATGTATGCATATAGTGGCTTGTCTCAACACATACACAGCAGTTTGTAGTTTGTGAAAGTGAAACTGAGAGTCAGATTAAGAGACGGAGGAAGAGAGAGAGAGAGAGAGAGAGAGAGAGAGAGAGAGAGAGAGAGAGACACACACAGAGGTAACAAGTCTTGGGTTGTTAAACCTCAATTCTTTCTCCTCCTGCTCTCTGTGATGATAAATAGTGCGTTTTAATGCAGCCAAATTCACAGTATATATGTTCTCAACCACCATTTGTTTTAAATTTTTGCTGTCAGACAACAGAACAACAAATAGCTTACTATGTTAATTAGCAGCCATTACGCTGCAGATAAAATCGACATTTTATGATCATGATAAAGTCAATTAAAATTAACAAAAAAATAAGTGGGAACTGACAACAGCTGTGCAGTGAGCTTGTATGCACTGACATTTTAAGGGAGCGATCGTAAAGAAAGATTGTCGTATTAAAGTGCAGCCACGAAGCATCTGTTACCACATCGAAATGTTTTCAACATGTTTGCAGCTTGTAAAACATGAAACAAATGTCGACAAAGCAACTCTAAGAGCAAATGCTCTGCTTCTGAAATGTTCTCACTGGACACTGAAACCGCAGCGCAGACCAACCTGAATGCAGTCAAGCAAAATCCAGAGGTCACAAAATGATTACTGGGGGTTGGAAACAAGAAAAAAACATTACAGCTTATTTTTTAAACTTTCCTCTCATCTTTGACTAAGTCTTATTAAAATGTCAGTTTCACCACTTCAAGCCTCTAAAATTATTCAAATTCTGGAAATTCAGTTTCTCCCAAAGTAACAAACAAATACAGCCAGTGACGAGAGGCGGAAAGAAGCCATTTCTTTGTATTAAGAGGTCACAAACCAAAAAATGTGAACCACTGTACTGTATGTGTAATTGTGTTTAAAAGATGCTCTTTTTTTCTGTCCTCCTCCTCGCTCCTAAGCTCTCTGGTGTAATCAGAGAATGAATAATTGATGGAGAAAAAGAGGTTTCCACTGTACAGAGATGGGACCAGAAAGCTAACAGGCCTCCCCCTGCACTCTGCTCTGACCCCATTTTCTGTGTTCAGCCACCTCCTGGAGGTACGCACATGAACACACACATACACACAACTTGCAGTCAGTGACCTTTAAAAGAGAGCAAGGTAGTCAGGAGAAGCCAATTACTGTATTATCTGTTATTATGGACGTCCAAAGCTGATCTGTGTTGGAGCCAATTTTAATTGGCCAGTGTTGGTCATATTCAGCCTGAGCCATCTCCAGGCCTTTGTTTAGAGCGTTCTGGGTACGACAGCTGTCAAAAACACTTTGATGTGCCCTGTTAAAAACACTGAAAGCCCCTCCAAACACACTTCACCGCAACAAGTAAGCAAGCTGTGGAGCAGCATTAGCAAAACAAAAAAAAAGCTTATTCCATTGATATTCACAATGTCAGCATGAGTTTCTCAGCACAGGTTGAAACAGCAACCACTCTGCATGTATTTCAGCAACACTTCACAGGTGTACCACACCTCTACAACACTGCTGCTCGTTAGAAAACTGCATTTGACCTTTACTTTTTTTTGTTTATGCTGGGTACGGAGAGGCTGTCCAAATCTTCCTGCCATAACAGCTCGAGGTGAGACACATCACTCTCTCTCTCTCTTTAGTATTATACCAAAACTATAAGCTTTGTGTGTACGAGTGTAAGCGTGTATGTAGAGTATGTCTTCCCGTGTGTGTGTATTACCGGGCTGCTCTCTTCACTGGGTGTGCGAGGCTCCTGTTGGCTCGTCTCTGTCGTCTCAGAGTCCTGCTCTGATACTGCAACCAATCGTAGACACAATCAATTAGACTGACAGTTCTTCACTCTCATTACATGACATTGTCTTTGTCACTCCACATTTTCATAATGCAACTGGAAAAGAAGAACACGCCAGGAAAACGTCTCAGGACAACACACGCACGCACGCGTGCGCACACACACAAACACACGCACACGCACACTAAATGTATACTTACAAGCTTTGCGAGTCTTTCGGGCGAGAGCAGCTGCCAACTCACTTTGTACCTGTTGGAGAAAAAGTGCAAGGTGTCACAAAAAGACACAACACTAAAAATATACTCATGGTAACACCCAGCATTCACTGGTATAATTCATATTTCATATATTGATTCACATGCACACGCTGACCGTAGATGTGAGCCTCTCGAGAGCTTTCATCTGGAGAATCTCACTGCAGATGTCCCTGTTGCCCTCAGAGTCCTCCTCTGACCTTGGAGACAAACACACACACACACACACACACACACACACACACACACACACACACACACACACACACACACACACACACACACACACACACACACACACACACACAGAGCTTTATTTGCAAATGACAAGTGGACAAGTGCATAATTCTAAGCAAACACTGTCTAGAGAAAAAAGTTTCATGCCGAGCTTTGGTCCTCTCTACACTGCCCCCTGGTATGCCAAGAGAAGACTTGCAGCCTTTTTAGCTGGATGTTTGTATCAGTGGACCTTTTTAAAATCAAATGATATGAATAGACTTTTTTTTATCATTTACCAAATTAAATAAATACTTTGTGTGTACATCCAAATGGGGTGGTGGGGGGGTGGGGGGCTGGGGGGGTTAACAGTGGTTTCCCAATAGTTGCTCACTGGTTTCTCTCCAGTAAGGCAAATCTGACTGCAAAAATAGATTTACTATACAAGTGATACAACTTGACCATTTTTATTGAATCCTGCACCAAAACATCTTGAAACATGATCAATACTATAATAATTAGTTTTAGTCATTAATCGAGCCAAAAATGATACTGTCTGGTCCCAGTGTCTCAAAAAGTGAAGAAAAAACAAGCAATTCAAAGACATCACGTTGGGTTTGTAGTGGGCAAATGACATTTTGTAGACTAAACAGATTTACTGAAGAAAGTAATTTGAAATTGCAGCTGTAAACATGATATACATACAGCAGATGACTGTTTTTGTGTGAATATTTTATATTCAGGAGAGTCGTATTTGCCCGTTTTATTTTCCCTCCCATCTGTCTTTCTAGTTCTTCACAGCTCGTGTGTCTTTGTATCGAGCATCTCTCAGCAGCCGACTTCTTTCTTTCATGTGGTTTCATTTAAAATAGCTCCCAGACACACCCTTCTATTGATGTTAGCAAGGCCGTGTGTGTGTTTGTGTGTGTGTGCTTGTGTGTGAGTGCGTGTGTGTGTGTGTGTGCGCGCACCGATGTGGTGGCTGTGTGTACATGTGTTCAGAATGTATATAGATGTGTTACTCTTGTCATCTATTTTTTTTTTCAAGCCTGAGTGCATCTGTGATTACATTTGTGTACGACTCCATTTTTGTGTGTGTGTGTTTGTGTGTTTGTGTGTGCTGTATAAACAGGTGGATGTTTTAGGGTAAACTCTGCATTATTCCCACAGCAATAATACAAGGTTGTAGAGTTTGTCTTCAACAGCAGCAGACTGCACCCGAGGGCCCCTCATCTAATATGTTCTCTTACAAAACCACTGTTTGGATTGGTCTCCTGCACACTGCCTCACCTCTGTACAAGACAGGCGCGCACGCACACGCACACACACACACACACACACACACGGCACACCCTCCCTCTTTCTCTCTCTCTCTCTCTCTCTCTCACCCTCTCAAGTGCACACACGCACACACCCACACACACACACTCAGTCCAGCATGCACACACATGGGCCAATTTGCATACAATTTGGATTTTATCAACAGATCCCAGTGGCACTAGTAATAGTTGTGGAGGGAAGAAAATCTAGCCCTCTGTGTGAATGCATGTGTGTGTCTGTGTGTGTGTGTGTGTGTGTGTGTGTGTGTGTGTATGTGTGTGTGAGTGTGTGTGTGTGTACACTGTAATCTGATAAGGGAATGATAGATGGTAAAGCAGGAGAGATGGTGATAACATGTAGCCCTCAGCCTGACACTGCAGTTATCGGCTCTGACACAGACAGAGAGACAGAGACAGGAAAAGAAAAAAGAAAAAAAAAAAAGCAGTTTGGTGGTTGTGCTTTCCTTTCAGTATTTATGGTGAAACTGACTCATCTCCACTCTCTGTTAAAATAAGATGACTGATGCTCAAACCTTTGGCAGAGCTGGTAGAACAATGGAAAAGTATCAAGTTGTCAGTGCAGTTTAATGCTGGAGATTTCGTTTATGTTTTTTTTTTTTTTTTGGTTTCTCAACAAATGCTGGAGTTCATTTGTGGATCATGAGACGTACAAAGTCTTTTCTGGGCCATCGTGCTAAATTTATTCTTCTCAGGGTCATTAAGTTTTTGTTTCATCCAGTGTTCATTTGGTAATTTGGTGACTCACCATGAGCCTGAATGTACCAGAGCTGGAAGAGAGGCACAATGGGAGGTGTGTCGCCAATCATTAAACAGCGCAGAGCAGTATTAATAGAGGATTAACATGGCACCGCCTCACAGTTCAGACCACGTCAAAGGTGAATGCCACAAGTTATAGTCAGGTTTTGTGATGTTTCATGACTCATGATTCATGGTCACTGTTGTAGTGCACTGCACAACATCACAAGGTAAAAAATACCTGGTTTTTAGTTTAAATCATGGCTAAACTTGACATGGACTAAACCTTAAAGGAACGAATGCGGAGTTTTCCACTGCAAGGGCAATGTGCATAGTTAAACTCTAATGTCCGCTCCTTACACAGCTCTTCTAAAAAGCACTTTATATGCAAGTTTTGTCCTTACTGTAATGTGAGGCAAAGTGGAAGCGAGAGAATCGGACTGAGAGAGGCTTCCTTGCCAATAAAGCTAATTAAAGTGAAACCAAATTGAATTCAGATGGCAGTAGAGACAGCGAGGGAGAGAGCCATGTTTTTTATAATGGTAATAGTTGACTCACTCAGGTAAATTAACAACTGCCTGGGTACATGTTTAAAATTCATTCAAGGTGCTATGACGCATGAAACCCAAATTTGAAGCCTTCTTGAAACCATTAGATTCTTGTTAAATGTGTTTCCAAAAAAGAAAAAAATCAACATATTTTCCTGCCAAGCACTGCAGTGAATGATGAACAATAAACTAATAAACTGCAATAACCATGATGTGCCAGGTAGCAAATGTTATTGTTCAGAGACAGCAATCAGACACAGCAATCCTCTGAGACACACTGGCAGTGTTTACAGGAACTGAATAATGACACAAACTAAGAAACATCTTCTGCACATGATGCAGAAGAGGTAACCCATCTAATTGGTAGCTTGTTGTTCATTTGCCTTCACTAAAGCAGCAGGCACAAGAAGGGAGTTTAATAATCAGGTATTGTTGCCTCATCATGTATTAAGTTATCAGTATCAATTTAATGCTGGCCTCATTAGATTAAACTGCAGGAAGAGATGGGGAGTCATAATTCATGAGGGGCATCAGCATCGATTACACCTGGCTCCATTTAAAATCTTGCTGCAGCACCCTCAGAAATAGCATATTACTATAATTACAAATTTGGCAACACAGGCTGATAAAAAGCATGTGTCCTTGATTCACGAATCAGCAGCATGAAGATAAGCTCAGGATACGAAACCTGTTCCAATCAGATGTGGTATCTCCTGATTGGATTTCATTAAATATTGTAATAGATGACCCTCCCCTTTTGCAATAATCATTTAAGGATAAAGACTTTTGGAACAAGCACTAGAGCAGGGACACCATATTTGGCATGTTTTTACCTCTTCCATGGAGGTGATGTTTTCACCCATATATGTTTGTTTGTCAGCAGGAAAAAGTGCAAAACCAATTTACACGGAAATGTTTTTCTCTGAGGTCGGTGCTCTCTGAGTTTAAAAAAAGTATTGATTTGAATAACTTTATTTAACTCATTACATTTTATTAGCCTAATGATTATTCTATACTCTATTTTTTTACAATTTGAAAGAGAACTACACTTACAAGCAAGTACAGTGGGGTCCAAGCACCCAAGCGCAATTTGGACCCTGAGGGTTACCGATCCAAGGAGATCAAGCAGGTTTGGGCCGTCTCAGACACCCTCAGTCAGTGAATGTTGCCAGGATCTTATTTATATTACTGCCGTTTATGAGCCCACTGGTAATTCTATCTCCTTCCTTCAACATTAATGGATCAGTGCATTAAGCAAAGCACCATCAAGTCTCTTGGAAGCAGGCAGTGGAGTTACATCAGGTGTTTCCCCTCACAGCTACAGCTACTATTCTCCTTTACACCATCGAGAGTGAGAAAAAGAGGACGAGATGCAAGAGGGGAGGGTGTGAGACGGAGAGAGAGACAGACAGACAGAGAGGATGCCTGCAGAGAAATGACACGACAGTCAAAGAGAGACACGGACAGCAGCAGGGTCAAAGTGACAGACAGAGTGAGAATGTTGAATACAAAATCTCATCTATGTCTGATCTGCAAAAAATAAAACAACTGCATGTTTGCAGGTGCTGTTTCAAGCAAAATTATCAATATTCTTAGGATAACGGGTATATTTTCAGCCTCTTGTCAGTATTCATGAAAAACACTACATGATAAATATATGCAGACCCCTTTGTCATGTAAATTCTGGTCTTTTTTTTCAGCTTTCTGCTGTCACAACAGAGGACTACTGGTAAAACATGCCTGGGAAAAAAAAGACAAAATCCCTCAAATGAAATCTGTTAGAAACTTGCAAACATGTGTTTGCTGGGTAAAATGCCAATAACCCCCATCTCTTCCACCCATTCCTCCGCACCCTGCCAACTTGTGGAAACACTGTGAGGAGTATGTATGTCACCTACTATAATCTATATAAAGTAACTGATGGAGAACATGTAAGTGTACATAGAGTATGATACATGAGATTTATAGTAGTAAGTATGACGTTCAATTCCCCTCGCTGTCATGCTCTATCCCTGGTGTCGGTAAATACACCCTTTGAAGTTGACACACAGATGAATGTGTTGACGTGTGCTCTGGTTCCTTTGCTCTCCATATATACTCTATTTTTTCGTTACCCCCACCCCACCCGTCTCACACTCCCTCTTTTTCTCTGAGTGACAGATTGAGTTCAGTGGCAGCCTCAGCAGGAATCCCACACACACAAGAGCAGCAAAGCAGGGAACTCTGGCTGACACCACTCCACATGTGTGTCTTTTTAAGTGTGTGTGAGTGTGTGTCAGAGCCCATCTTGTGTATATGAGCAGATCGCATCATATGTTAGTTGTTGTGTCTGAGTGTATTTCTTCTGTAGATGTGGAGGTGTCTGTGCCTGCACATGAATGTGTCTCTCACATAAGCTGATTGAGGATTTAGAACACTGAATAGAGATTAGGTTTCTCACTGGGATTTCATGAAGATATTGGTCTGTGTGTGTATTTATCTTGCAAGGACAGGAATGTACTTGCAGGAATGCCCAACACTTCCACTAAATCAAACAGAATCACTCATCTCTTTTCACATTAAGCCATCAGACAGATAAATGACCTCAATAATGAATCTACACCGGAAGCCTGTCACTTCAACTTTGATATTTAACCACAGCAATGAGCTTCCACTTCAGGTCAATGGAGATCATCCTGCACATCACAACTGAGTCACATTCACCATCAGCTATGATCAACATTCTGCAACAGTTTCACTGCTTTGATGGGGCATAGGCCAGGGAAGAACCCATGAAATTTCATTGCAGGTTTTTTTTTTTAAATGTCTCTTGTATGTTGTTTGACATTGGCCTCAGTGGAGGTCTGCAATCTCAGAGTGCCCATCTAGTTTTGTGCTGTTCTCTATGGTTCAAACTTGAACTTTTTTGAAAAAGTGACAGACATACATAAATACAGTACATACATCCATCCATACATCCATCCGTCCATCCATCTCAGCATAACTTGCAATCAGATTTTATTGGACACTTACGGGCTATTGGCCCCTCCTCCAGACCGAAACTGGACATATGGGGCGAGTTGTAGGAGGAGCCTAACAGCCTCAGGCCACTCCCCCTCATTGGAGCGAAACTCACAGGAGGCGGAGTCACACTCCTCAAAGCTGAACTGGTAGTATGAGTTTGAGTCCGAAAACACCACCCGCTGGTCCACTGGAGGAAAAGCAGACACACAGATAAACTCACCAAAATGAAATGTGACAAGAACTAACCTCATGTTGTGTATCAGACACCAATGTTAGTTTGCCTATCCTGCATCATAATCAGCAAGTGACAGTCTATGCTAGAAAAAAAAAGGAAGTGAATAAAAGAAAGGATGTATGTATTGTATTGTTTATAGATCAAATGAACACACTTAACGTACGATTGATTATTCCTTATTCACATTCATATAAATCAAGGTCAGTGAAGAGCCAGAGGCTTGTTGGCAGACAGACATTGTTTTATCTGTGCTGCCACCTCTCACTGAGGTAAATACTTTAGTCAAATGTATTTTGAATGTGGGTGAAAGCCACTGATGGGGAGTCAATACTTGAGAATAAATGGGAGTGACCTGAATTATTATGGATTGTTATAATAAACACTGACAAAAAGAAGCGATGAACATTGCTAGTTTAAACTGAACACTTCTTAGTTCTAAAGAAAGAGCAGAGACACAGTGCCCACAATAAAACCTGGGTGAAGTCTTTGTATCAGTTCTGGTGGATTAGCCAGACCGATGAACTGCACCTGAGCAGGGCTGTTCATTACTGAAAGAAATTGTCTTTGAATATTATACTGTTAGTAAATGAAGTATATGTTGTCTTTACAAAGGAGTAATGTAACATAGTTTCTATATCATTTTCTCTATATCGGCTCCACTGAATACAGAAACAGGTATCATACGTAGGCACTGTCAGTGTGCTGATATTAAAATGAATAGTTTCTCACGAGGAGTTTGGTGTGTTGTAAAATGTCTCCCGTAAATAATGAATGAATGAATGATGTTTAGGGCAGAATAATAACTGAGATTATTGGAGGGGTGCTTGGATACACAATGCAGTGAAGACCGGTTTCAGTGCAATTTTACCTTGTGGAAAGTTAATCCCAAAAAGGTAATATCAATATCTTTAATAAACAAGATCTCAATTCAAATCAGGTTTATGTGCTGAGCAGGTCAAGGAGGCAGCGAATTCATCTCTCTGTTCAGCTGGAAATTACCTGGTGACCTGGTTCATCTCACCTGTCTCTTTAGAGAAGTGTAGATTGTTGCCGCTGTCGCTGCAAGGTGACTATAAATTCTGAAGCACACTTTGACCCTGGGGCATATTAGAATGTGAATGTGATTGTGTGTGTGTTTGTGAGTGTGTGTGTGTGTGTGTGTGCTTGTATTTATTTATTTTTTTACCAGACAGCAGGACTCCCAGCTCCAGCAGCACCTGCCAGACACGCACAGCGGTGGTCCGACAGCGCACGTACACACACTGTTCGCACAGCCACTGCACCAGCTCCACACCCACATAGCTGTGCCTGTTAAAATACACACACACACACACACACACAGTTTCAGCACACAAGTCTGGCCACACAGTGTTATAATCCACAAGCACATGCACATATACGCACTTCTTCCCCCAGCACAAAGCTTGTCTTTTTTATTTAATCAATATCCATTGATTATTCATTAGTTCTCTGTAAGCCTTTTCCTCTGAAACACTGAATACTTTCCGTCTGCTTTCCCCCAGGATAAACTCCTTTTGTATGTGTGTGGGTGTATGTGCAATGGCAGTTAAGAGTATCTATTTATATTTGCGTCTAGATGTTCACATGTTTTTTCCATGTACTGTACAGTGTGTGCAGTATGAGAGTGCACATACAGTATTCCCTGACGATCTTGTGCTCTGCTATATAATGTCTACGTCAGACTTTGCCCGTCTTACTGCATAAACAACTTGAGTGGCCAATGAGGAAGGGGCTCAACAATGACTGGTGAGTCAGTGTATATGCTTCACCGGACACGTCGATGATTCAGCCCTGCACACAGACGCACAAACACAGGGACAAGTGTACCGTATGATTCTGGCCAGGTGTATCTTGTCTTTAGCTGGGTATGGTCCGTGAGAGAGGAAAGCATTCCTCACAGCCCGACCAGCACATGGGAAACTCTGGGAGCAAGACTGTCACACACACACACACACACACACACACACACACACACACACACACACACACACACACACACACACACACACACACACACACACACACACAGAAACACATCCAAATTAATTTTCAGTCTGAATGCAAATAATAATAATCATGAATGCAATTAAAATGGCAAGAATCTTATCATAACATTGTTCTGGACATGAGTATAGGACTGCAGAGAGCTAGTGTGGCTCCATGCGACTGTCATTGACTGACTCACAAGGACAGCTCGATTTCTTTCCCCCTGAGGAATGAAACATTGACTGTGTCTACACGCTCTGCAATAATCCTGCTAGTGACCCTGTCGTAAATAAGACCGGATTTCAATTAAGCTGTTTACGTGGGTTGCTTGTTCTGTTCCATTCATATTCCCCTTTACATGCTACAAAATAGAGTACACTTAATGACTCACGAGGATTTATTCACATTATGTTACGACATTGGAAACAGTGTCAATCCAACCTCAATCTCTGTCCTGTCTTGATAATTTGATGGTGTAGCCTTGTGGCTAAATGGGTGCAAATTTTGCAAAAGACTTTACTTCAAGTCACTACTAATGTTATGGTAATATAGTAGTGCATGTATTAGCTAAACTGACCTATGCATTGATTGCAAGAACAGAAGGTACCCTTTGGACCACTTTCTTTTCGACCACTAGCAGCAGATGTTGGTTCTAAGAGTGTGTCCCCGTTTTGTTTGCATCTTGTGTACAAGCAAATGGATGCAAATGCAATGGCACATGGCTGACACAACATGCATTCTTACAGATGGTATAACGCTGTTCTTGATCGACAGTTTGTATCATAATGTGCCAAGAAACATATAAATGTGCCAGTAAAAGGTAAGCAGGAAGACTGCCAGAAGGAAGAAACATACATGTAAACAATGCAGCTTTCAAGATATTTAAAAAGTCAGCTTTGCAAATGTTTTATGAAGTAGGCATTAAGCATTTTCTTTGAGGGCAAACAGTTTGTTGGCCCTTAAGGATGCACACACTGTTTGGTGAGAAACACTGAATGTAAATATATTGCAACTGTTGGTTTACAAGAAAAACTCAACTGGGTACATTAAGGTACCAGTGAGTTATCGTCCTAACCAGCAGGTTGTAGTCAATGTAGCAGTGCAATTTTTGACAGAGGCACAATTTCAATTTCACCTGGGTGTCTTAAGCTCTAAAGGAGGTCTCAGATATCAAAGCAGAGTTATTGATCATTTGCGGAACAGCAAGATGATGTTGTCAATGACCTTCAAACAGAGAGTATGGTTCCAACCAGCCCTCATATTTGACTTCATATCGAGCCTTGATAGACATTTTCTTCAGTTATGGGTGTTTGTTGCTCAAAAAAACAAAATGACGTGACAGACAATTGGATCAAATTTTGAATAGACAAATGACAAATGATTTACAACTCTGTTTGATTGGAAGTTTTGCAAAATGTCACAAGAACTAATATCTACCACAGTGTGTTTTTGAATAAATCTGCGGTGGCAAATAGGACACGCAGCTGCACAATCATCTTTAATTGTGAAGAAGCTGATAACAAAGGTTGAGAGTCAAAGAGGTGGAAGGCAGCACTAACTTAAAATTCAAAACAAAGCACAAATCATTGTCACCATCATCCAACCTAATCTACAAAGTTTATTGATTGAACCTGCCCTCTGAAAACCTGATCAATCAATTCCTAGTAAATATTTTTTCAGACTAATATCATGGAACAAAAGCTGAAGTCGGAAGATTTAAACTGACTTATTAAGGATTGAGTTTTAGGCTCCTTTTCTGCAAGCAAGCATCTTCCTGCTTAGGTCCTTCGCGGGCAAGTTTCTACCAACATTATACTGCTTTGGGTTCCACATCAATGTTAGGTACATCCATGTCTGCTGAGGCAAGATATAAAAGAAAGTCTAGTGAAATATGACTAATAGAAAAAACAACAACTGCTGAGGTACAAACAACCAGGCAGACGCAAAGATTTTTTGGCACATTTTTTAAACTTTTCACTTTTGTGGCTAATGTTTTGAGTAGTGAAAGAAAACTATGCTCGTGTGAGATATTTAAGCCCTGAGGCAGTGCAGTACTTAAGCGTTTGCCAAACCACAATATAGTGATGCATGACAAAACTGTGTGTGTGCGTGTGTGTGTAGTTGGAGAAACTAACTTTGAAAGAGCCCAAGGTAATATCACCACTGATATCACCTGTATTGAGGTAAAACAAACACACTTTCGCCTCACAGCAAAACTAAAGGGATGACATCACATGTGAGTGAGGGTGCATGTGTGTGTGTGTGCGTGTGTGTGTGCGTGTGTGTGTGTGTGTGTGTGTGTGTGTGTGTGTGTGTTTCCTTACCTTGTGTACAGTAGGTCCAGTGCTCGGTCCAGGGATAGTGTCAGGTGACTGCTGTTGAGACAAAATACACACAAGCCGTCAGAGCCAACACACGATGGATGAAACACACACACAGTAAACACACTGAACAAACAAGACTGAGATGAGAAAGACCAGTTTTACCATTCCTAAATCATTAGTCAGGTTTTTGTTCAAACCAACAGCGGTAACAACCATTGCTCATACACAGACTTTCTGGTTTTATTTAGTGGCTTTAATGTGCAGACACTCCTGTTACTGTGAGGCACTGTTGCAAAAATTAAAGAACGTGGCAACCCATTTTTATGGAGAAGAAAAACAATGTTAAGTGTATGATGATTTTCTGACCTAAATAGCTTAATAGTGACACATATTCACACAAGTACACATCAATATGAAACCCCTGCCATATTAAACGATAAGACAACAATAACAATTAATTCATTGGTTCCAGTGATTAACAATACAATGCCATGAATCAGTCCAACAGGAAACCGATAATAATATTTAAGTGGCACCATGTCAAATATCTTCATTGTTACAACCATCAGGCCATCATGTTGCAGCCTTTGCCCTGGGCGTATCCACTTTACCTCTACCGACACTAACAGGAAAAAAGCTCTTAATCTTTATGGATTATTATTGTGCCAGAGGAAATGACAGTGTTGACACCGTGGTGACACACTCATCATAAAACACAATGATTATAAGCGTTAGATCAAGTAAAGCGAAAAGGCATTATATGCAGACATCTGTTTTAGTATTTCACTGCAGTGTAATATACAGTGTGATGTAATTTAGCAACGCCTGGGTTTGTCTGCTGCTGAATTAAAATGTTGCAATGTGGCAGTGTTAATCGCAAGATAATCTTAACAGGTTTTATGACTCCTTGTGGTTTACCAAAGTGTGTTGTAAAAGAAAAAAAGTTTTAGAAGCTTTTAAAACATGTACTAGTCTTATGTGATATTTATGGCCAGTATTCACTATCACAATATTCATTGTGTACAGACACTTGCAGTGATTAAGGAAAAGCTTCATCTGTATCCAGCCCATGGAGGGAAACTTTAAAATGCCTATAAAAGAATTCACCTCTTTGAGACGTTTTCATGTTTAATTATTTTACAACACTAAATCACTGATGTTTGAAGAGGCATTTTGAACCTAATTAACAGAAAAAACCCTGGTACCAAATCAAAAAAATCTCTTTGCATCAATATTTGCCCCTTTTACACTGATGCACCTGAATGGTACAGCCAAATGTTTTAAAAGTTCTCAGTTGAAAGGAGATCACCTGTGTGTAAGCAAGGTGTGACCAGTTACTTTAGGTTAAATACACTAAACATAACATAAAGCAATCCAAAGGGCTGAATATAGTTTGTATTTGCAAGACTATTTTCAGTGTATATGGGTGAGGAAACTATCAGATATTGATTGCTTTGAAAACAACATAGTAGTGCACCCCTGATAAAAATACAAACTGTAGAGTCGTATCAGGATGGCGATCACGTTCGTTAAAAACCACAGACAGATGAGACACTCCTGCAATAGGAGTGCAACTGGTCTGTGAGTGAGTCAGTTAGTGAAACAGGATCACTGATATAGTTGTGGGTTTGATTCCCTGTGGAAACCTTCACAGAAATCTGAGCCTGTGCTAGCAATCGCTGCTGCCCCTCGCCTCTCACTGGCTGACGATAACAAACCACCAGATGATGACAAATAGGGAGATACAGCAAGATCAAATGATGGGACAAATGAAAAGCACGTAAGCAACTGCGGAAGATGGATGTACATGAAGAAATATAAATGAGTTAGTGTGCAAGAGAAGAAAATAAGAGAGGGAGGCTGCACAATTCACAACAGTCTATGAATATATGAAAGGGGATATGAGCATGACAGATGGAGAGGGAGAGATATGAGGCGGTGAGAGACATCACTTTAATTGTAATCGAGAAAGAGAGCAAGACAAAGACAGAGAAGGAGAGAAGTGCTCGGCTGTGGCTTTGAGTTGCAAGAAGAAAATGAAATAGAGGGATGATTAGAGAGATACAGAGCAGTGTGTGTGATCCTCATTAGAGCGATGATACTGTCTGGGATGAAACACACACACACACACACACACACTAGCACACGCCTTATTCAAAGCAAGTGACTATCACAGCTCACCTACTCTTCATTAAAGGAATAGCTCAGCATTATGGGAAATATGCTTCAGTGGTTTCTGACCGAGAGTTAAAGGAGATGATCAATACCACTCTTAGTCTCACTCTTTGTCCGTTAAATATGATGCAACGGCTAGTGGCCGCTTAGCTTAGCTTAGCACAAAGACTGGAAACTGGGGGAAACAGCTCGCCTGGCTCTGTCCAAAGGTAATCCACATAAAACATGGAGCAAACAACAAAACTGTACATCACAACCGAAATCTGGTAAGGAGCGGGATAGTTGCACACAACCTCTATTCAGTCACTCCCTGCTCTCGGTGATCACCTATATTGTGTTTTTAATACAGAGGAATTTACGATTTATTTGTTCTCATTTACATATTTTTCTTTGAGTGCTGTCAGACAACTGAATGAGCAGTGGACACAGTAAAAGCTACCCGATAATCAGGCAAATAGTAGTCCCTACACTGCATTGAGATGTCGATCAAATCACTATTTTATGATCACAAAGTCATCTGATAAATTACACATAAATAGAGCTGTGCCGTGTGAACACCCAGAGTATACTGACTAGAGCTTAGATGATCAGTCAATTAACTGATCATTTAGTCAACAGAAAGTGTATCAGAATTTTTATAATCCATTAGTCGTTTTTCAAGCGAAACAAACAATCATCATGTGTTTCCAGCTTCTTAATTGTGAGGTTTTGCTGCCTTTCTTTGTTTTATGTGATAGTAAACTAAATATCTTTGGATTTTGGTCAGACATAACAAGCAGAGTCAAGACAACGAGACATCTTGCATTTTGGGAAGTTGTATCTGTCTTTTTTTTTTTTTTTATCCATTTTCTGACATTTGGTAGACTGAAAACTAATTAAGGAAATAATCAGCAGATTAATCAACAATGAAAACAATCATTAGTGGTAGCCCTGATATAAGGTACAGAGGAAGTTGGAGGTGACAGAAATTTCAAAAGCAGTTTAGTTTTTCCTCATTCACAATTACAATCAAACATTTTCAACACAAGACTAGGTCAAAACCTAGTATATGGCTGGATCACATATAGTCAATGTGCGAAATTGAGGACATAGCTAAAAACTGTTGTCATGGTTTCCTATTTGCATTCAGCCTAGTGCCAGCTGGTTTTAGCCCTTTATCTGTTTGCTTTCTCCTACTCTCTGTGCTCACATATACAGTATTTTAATACAGCTGAATTTCCAATGAAGCTCATTTAAATGTTTTCCTGTTTCTGTTGTCAGACAATGGAACAAGTTTGAAATATTGACTGAAATGCAGCCCATTAAGACTATGTGTTAACTTCCAAGCCATTCCCAAGCTGCTGCTCTGCTAAAATCCTATTTTATATGCGTGATATCATCTGACAAAATCACCAAACACATAAGTTAAAGACAAAGACTGTGCTGTGTTTTCAGCTAGATTTACTTGTAAAATGATCACTCAGAGAGAAAGTTAGAAGCGACAGAATATCTTTCTTATTTTGTCTATCACACAGAGCAGAGCCTCCTTCTGGGATCCACAACAGTCTTCACATTTCCTCAAAAAGTGAACAGGGCCTTTATTTACCTAAACTGCAGAAGGTAACAGGTCTTTATTTTAAGGCAGGCTTTTATTAGAGACAGGTCTTTATTTCAAAGTTTCATAACTTCATAAGTATAATTGGTCATATCGGTATCGTAATACGAAGCCTTCTTTTCAGTTGCTCCCGTTTGTCGTGTTAAAGTTACTGCATTATGTGTACCCTATTTATTACATTACCTTTTATCTCTTAACAGGGCTTTTATTGCTGTGCTGCAGTAAGCGAAGTGTCTCATTTCCGGTTGGTGGCGTTTCTGTTGTTTACATGCTATTCAGATCTGCTAGTTTCTTTAGCTTAGCAGTTACCGATGGCTTCTCTCTGTCTCTCCCGCTCTCCTGCTCTCTCTTGCTCAGAGTGTCTAATATTTGTTATTCCTCTGCCTCCTTTCGTAATAATGATAGATGTATTGAAAGTATTTGCTGTAATGGAGGCAAGGCTCAATGTATTGGAAACGCTACTCTGTTTCCCTGCAGCCCCAGAGCAACGTGGAAGCCAGGGCGGCTGGGGGACTGCCCGTAGCACAAGGTGTAGCCCTAAGCCCGCCGTTGGCACCCATACAAGATCCAGCCTTATACTAGGTTTATGCCTAGTCTTGTTTGGGTAAAAAAAGTCTAAATCTAGCGACAACACTGCAGGCTGTAAAGGTCCCCCATTTTAAAAGGGGAACGGCTAATGGGGAAACTCAGTCAGGGACATTTGAGATGATAGGGCTGGCCCCACTGTTGTGGTCCAGCCAAAAAGGACTGAGAGAAAAACCCACTCAATGTGTACGTACTCCTAGATGTCAGTAAAGAAGAGACTTATTTTCTGTGTTTGTGTGTGAAGGCATGCAGTGTTTGGACTGGGGGTTAAGTAGAGCACACAAACCAGCCAAGCACACAGACTAAATAAATTGTTTCTGACTCTCGCTATCTCTGTCTCTCTTCCTCTTTCTCTCTTTTGTCTTGGTCACTGTATCTTATCTCTCCATCTCTTTGTCTCTCTGTCTGGTGAACACAGATCTCTCGAGGGCTCTTTGTTTCTCCACCATCATCAACTCTTCTCACAAGCACAGTCCAGACACACCAGCACTAGAGGTGTTTCATTCATACTGTGTCACATGACGAGAGAGATGTCTGCTGGCCATGTTCCTGTGAGCCTCTTTGTCTGTGCCTCAGTTTCTCACAAATACGCACTCCATCCATCCACCCTCCATTCTCCATCACAGCGTATATACAGCCCGTTGCTGTCAGTACACCGGAGGCCAAAAGAGAGTGATAGAAGAGAAGAAAGGGAAGAGAAGAAAAGAGAAGAGCAGAGGAATGAGAGGTATAAAGAGAGAGCACATGCTGACACGCTTATCTGTGTGATGACTTCAAAGTGTGTATACAGAGAGAGAGACAGAGAGAGAGTGAGAGAAAGCAGGAGAGAGCGAGGTCATTATCTGCAAGAAATGGATTACTCTCAGATTAGATTGCTGAGCACAGTGAAGAGCTGTAGCACGGTATGCTTGGCAAGCCCCCTCACACACACGCATGCATACGCGCACACACGCACACTTCACATTCACACTAAGCTCCTGTCGACTCCTCGACAGATCTGTCATACAAGGAAGTCAAAATGGAGACATCAAAGAAGCTACAACTCAATGGGCACACACACAAACAGACGAACAAACACACAAACAGACAAACACACAAACCAAGCTGTCAGCCCACGCCGATCTGCCAACACACATGACCTTTGGCTTACCACCAACACTTAGGATCAGTGTCTATTTATTGATAACACACTAATTTCAGGAGTTATTTAGTTATCCAGCTTCTTTTTTTTGTTTCTGAATTTCTTTCTTCTACATTTTTAGCATTTCAAACCTCAAACAAGAATATTCAAGACATTATGAGACCACATAAAATGGTCAAGATTTTTATTTTAAATAGGTTGTCTTTGAAAATAGATTTGTCCCAATATCGGGATTCTTCCATTCAAGGTTTTCAAGCTTCAATCAAATCTTATCAACATAAATATTATATTCATACATCAAAATGGAAAACAAACTTATTTTAGCTTGTTTGTGAGGAGATATTGTAAATAAAATGCATGAAAAACAAGATTTAAAAATTGCTTGTGGTCTTAATAATAATGGGGATCATTTTAGGTTGTTGCAATTTTACTGGCATTAATGTGTTCCACTTGTATCCAAAAAAAGGGAAACAAGTGTTCCTTCCAGATTGGGTGCTCAACTTCAAAAATCAATCAGTTCAAAAGTGGAAAAAGGTGGCATAAAAAAAAAAAAATGTTTTACTTGTATTCTTGCTGGCACATTTCAGACATCCAAGCATATCCTACTTTTATATCGTTTTCTCTGTCATTGTCTTTCACAAATTATTAACAATTGATAATTCTGAGTATACACCTGCATTATTGTATATATTTCTTTACATTTAAATAAAGTATGTTGAAATACATATTTAAGATGTTAATACTTAACTTGTTAATATTTCTTACTGTGCTAATCCTTTCAGTCAAATGCAGTGGTTCTAGTCATAGTCTGTGTACATTTATATGGTGAGTGAGTGCAAATATGTTGGGTCTCTCACTTTCCCTTTCATCTTTTTTATCGCAATGTATAATGTTGTTATGGATATGAAATATTGCTGGCAGACATAAAAACACATCACAAGCCACTGTTTTGCTGCATGAATAATGCAGAAATTAGATCATCTTCTGAGGAATATCATCAACTTTCCTCTAAGACCGTGACTGTAAAGTCTACAGTGTTTTTGGGTATTATATAAGTGTATTGTACAGATGTGTGAGTCTAGGCTTGTGGTTCTGACTTTACAATTAGTGGTCACATCAAGTGTATTTTTTATAATATCCATCCAAATTTCCCACTTAAAAATGAAAACTGTAATGTTATTTCCAGTGAGTAGTCTGCCATAAATTCAGTAGAAGAAAGAAAGACAAAGAAGCTGCAGCACCAAACAAAATAGTATGATTAATATGCGATTGCACCAGAATTGTACCACTCCTCTAACTCCAACATGTATAACTTCCTTTGCTTGCATTAAGAATGCAAACCGAAAACAGCAAAATGTGCACAAACAGGATATACACACATATCGAACAACCAAGTACACAATGTGCTCTATGCCTAATTTTTGTTTGGGATTTTCCTTGTGGTTTTAATGTTTTACTGGTCTGGTTTTATTGATTGACTAAAGGAACTCTTCAGGAATCACAATGTACTTGTACTGATCTACTTAAGCAAATGATAAATTAGGTCTCTAGATTTAAACATCTGCAATTATTATTACAACAAATTTTAGCGTAAGACATCATTGACCGTTGAGAAACACTGTTGGGTTAACTGTTTTCTCTTAACTGTTGGCAGCATAATCTTTGAAGACAGTTTCATGTCTCAAGCGTCCTCCCTCTATTTTGGTGTCAGCAACAAAGTCCAACCAAAACAAACAGTTCACAGTAAAACCAGTTGCAGAAAATTGACTTTGGGCTTGAGAGTATTGGCGGGCAATAATATCAATCAGCTTGATCTGTTAGCATCTGGCTTTCCAGCCAAGCTAGCAGTGCTGTAGTGGTAGTTTGAGCCTCTCACTTGCTCCAATAGCGTCTCATCACCAGTGGGCTCTTACATGTATGTTCTACTTGAAGGTTGAATATCACAATTTGATGCCTGACTGAGCTACAGTTGAACAGAAGACGGAGGAAAACCATCCAGTCTCTCCTTGTTATAAACTTTCTTCAGGGTGGCTATTGTACAGAGCAGCCATGCAAGTGTTGTAAAAGTTGAAAACTAAGTAAAGTGCTCCTTTAAGCAGATTTCTCTTTTCCTGATACTACAGCCAATAAAGAACTAATAATTGAATACCAGAGCAAGTCACAACAGAGAAAGACAGGATTCTCCAAGGTGAGGCTGCTGCAGGCTGGAACCAAAGGCGACAGATGGCTCTGTGAACACAGCAGCTTCAACTCACTCATGGGCGAATATTAAAGACGCATATGAGGTAATGTGAAAAACTGCTTATATCAGATGTTTGCACTTTTACACAGCTCCAAATATTAGAGCAAAAAAAAAACCCACAAATAATAGCTGCATGGATCAAACAAAACAGACAACATGTGTGCAATGACTTTCCAACTTTGAGTGCTGTTGTGGTGTATTGCAAAAACTCTGTGGTAGTTCCTCGCTAACATCTTTTTGGAAAATGAATCCATGCAAATGTGTGTGTGAGAGTGTGTGTGCCAGGTGAAGCACAGCCAACTGCCAGTGTCTAGAGAAAACCAGTCTGCACAGAACAGCCCATACCTTTACACTACTTACCTACGCCTCATCACACTCACCCACACATGAACACACACACTAAGTTAGGTGAAGAGAGCAGAAGGAAAACTTGACATTTTTTCTTCATCTACTCAGTATCCCCTTCTTTGCTCCCCTTAAGCTCAATCACAGGCAATGAACAAAAACAAAGAATAAACGATGCATAATACAGTATACAGTTATGTACTGTGTAAATGGGACACAGTCTGCTTTTTTAAATGTGGTCCGGTTCCTGATGTGATCGGTGTAGCTACATCATTTAGACACATCTGTAATACTTGCTAGAAACATAATCCAATCATTCTCTCGATGGTTTCACTATAATATTCTTGTGTGGACTGTCCTATTTACATATTTTCTTTTGAAATTAACTGTAGGATGTACTATTGCTGATTTGTTTCCATGGGAGAATTTAATCATATTACAGTAATCAGATAGGTGACGGGAAAACAAAGTGACCTCAATCTGTAGGTCATTAAACATCATTTAAAATAACACGATGTAACATGTCATAAACTGTTCATCTACTTGGTCCAAAGTGGCTTTACGCTACAAATGCTGCATATTTTTAGCACATTTGGCAGCAGTGGGACTGGAAGTCCTGGCACTCTGTCTGTGATTCCCACAGAGGCAATCAGGGACACGTTCTCTCTTGGCTGCTGCTGCCGATGATGAAGATGAGCAGAGCTGACACTCTGAGCAGCTATTTGGCTTGTCAGGTGCGTTTGTTCCACATCAGGGCACAGCGAGTCACACACATTTTTACTGCTTAGTTGACCAATCATCACAAAAAAGAACCAGTGTATTACAGATAAGAGAGAGATTTGCTTATTTACTACAGAATAGGGCTGTTCTAATTAGTCAGTTGCTTATCTATGTATCGTTGCATTTCTCAAATGTGACAATTTGCTGCTTTTCTCTGCCACCAAATTGAAAATACATGAACGTTTTTCAAAACAAGATGTCTGTGGAGATCACCTTGGGCTCTGTGAAGTTAAGATGCACATTTTTCCACAATTTTTTGTGAAAATGAAATGACAGTTACAGAAAAGAATTGTCAATTATGCAGATGCACCTGGTTTTGTATATAAATATATATTATATGTCTGTTTATGTAAATAGGTTTGTGTGCCTATGAGCCTATGTGGTGGGGGGTGGGGTGGGGGGTTGCCTTGACTACCGGAGTGTGAAGGTATGGTGTTAAACAGCAATTCTAGTTATTATGGATGTAGCATGCGTACACACGTACACACAAACACACACACACACAAACAGAGAGAGAGAGAGAGAGAGAGAGAGAGAGAGAGAGAGAGAGAGAGAGAGAGAAAGACTCTGCGACAGTAATGCTTGTAACATAATGAAAACACCTGAGTCGTGACGAGGTTATGAAACAGCCTCAGAGCACAGAGTGCTGTCCGAAAAACTGATGGCTGAAAAGATAAAACCGTTGCCAACGTTCATCCAACATCAAACACGGAAGGACGGACAGTCAGCCAGCGGTCGGTTTGAAATACTCACGCTCTTCTTCCGCAGGTGCAGCCCGTGCTTGAGTAGCCCTGGCAGATCCCGGATTTTGTGTTTGAGTTGTGCCTGGTCTCGTGCGCTCCGATTCCACCGCAAGCCCGCGAGCAAGCCGTCCTCTGCGGGCTCCGAGTCCTCCATGGTTCTTCTCCTTCTCCCGTCTGTCCTCGAGCTGCCGCCTGCCTCCGCTCCCGGAGTCTACTGTATCCTCACAAGGCGCACCGCCGCCCGCGCCTGTTCGCCATTTCCCCCCGCCTCGCGCTCACACTCAGCGACCTGCATCTGCAACCAAACCGCGCGCAGCGTTAACGACCTACTGAATGTATTCCGCAGCACGCGACGCTGCTGCTCCACCCAATGGCTTGGGCGACCTACTCCTCAGTACTACCAGGTTGATGTGTGTGTGTGTGTGTGTGTGTGTGTGTGTGTGTCTCACAGGTGCACAGAAACATTGCATCACTTCCACCTTTCATTCCCTGACCAGTCTCACAAAGGAAAAGCGCGAGATACATTTAAAACAATTTTCTGCGTAGTACTGGTGCAGCAGACATGACAGTAAGAGGTTACAGTTTATCTATGTCACAAGTTGCAATAAAATACTTAGGTAATAGTCTTCGGGTTTAGAGACAAAATAAACAAGCAGAAGGCACTCGGTAGAGCTACGTCACCACATTACCTGGTTCAAATTTCCATAGGTAAACAAAGAGCAGCCAGTGTGTGTGTGTGTGTGGTACATCTAGAAGCAAGTTTTTTTCAAGGTTAATGTGTATTTTGTCTTCACAGTGTGAGAATGCTGTGGAGCCTTTTGCTTTGCTTTCCAGTTTAACCTGAGGCAGAAGGCAGGTGAGCTGAAACATGAAAGGAACTCAACCCTGCACGATTAATGCTAATAGTCATCTTTTTAAAATGCTTCTCTTCCTTGTGCATGTTTGCATAACATGCACATGAGATTGTTGTTCCAAAATAGCCCCAGTGTGTTCCTTTCATGTCCAACAATAAATTGGCCATTCAATATTAGCTTCTCACAGATGCATCAATCTTGTGTAGGCCTATGTATGCCAATAAGTTGAGAAACAATGGCACCGTTATATAGTTTATCCACCAGAGAGCACTGACAATTTTCTTTTTAGACTATAAAATGTCCAGCTCAGTACAAATTGCAATTCACATTAGAGCGATAAAACAAGGGTATCAGTCGGCGCAGTACCTATCCGGACCTCCTGGTGGTGGTGCTTAGCTATAACGCTAGTAGATCGCTACATGTCAGAGATTCAAATTGTTTTTGTAACAAACCCAGTACCTGCATCAGCACGCTGATGTTTCTTCATGTTTTTCGTGTGTAGTTGTGTCAGGCCAATTTCTTTTTGTACAACTCTGAAAATTCAAAAGCACAAATAATTAGCTTTTCATCCAACTCTCACTCAAGCAGTGGTCAACAGTGGATGCACCCACAACTGCCAGCGCAATTTGGGTCAAAGATAAACAAATTCAGTACATGCCCAGTTCAACCAGTGCACCGTTGACATCCAAGCACAACCATCACATCACACAATAAGGGAGGAGGCGGGTGAAAAAGCTGCTTTTCCACAATAATGTGAATATACCATTAGTCTTTTCTTATTCATTATCATTATTAACATCAACAAGGTATCAACATAGATTGATATCGGATTATTTTTTTTGTTAACTTTCAAGTATCAATATCGGTATCAGCCTCAAAAATCCAATATCAGTCAGCCTATAGTATTAACATAATTGTCAAATTAAGCTCAGTGGAATGTAAATGTTAGGGGAAAAGAGCATGATGATAAATGAGTCACAGAGCTAAGCATCTGTTTTTTCTGAAACATAAAAACTCAGAAGGTCATTGAACAGCTTTTATTGTTGTTCTGAAGGTATTTTCAGGATTCTCAAAAACTTCACCATCTTGATTAAAAAAAAAAGTTCACTGCACAATAAAAACGATTTTAAACCCAGTTTGAGGCTTTCTTTGTTGATCCAAACACAGATGACACATTTTCTGTGATTTAATTATGTCAATGAATGAGAGGCACAAACTAATGCTAGGTTTGTGCAGGAGCACAACAAGCAAGTTATAACCAACATCAGTAGCCTATACAGTATATTTATTCTGTGCATTATTTGTGTGCACAGATTTGTTAAAACTAATGCTATAAGATATATCAAAGACACATTTCTATCATAGTGTGATGAGCAACAAAACAATTCTCATTTTGAATTGGAATCCAAAAACAAAATGATGTGTGCAATTCTTTATCACTTCAATACGAAGGATTAAATTCTGTGCCACGTTTTAGATGCAGCACACAAATCAAAACCATGCTTCTTCATTTTGTGGCTTTATGAGCAGCCAATGAGTCATAGGACAAGAAGAAATTCTCTCTTTGGCTTGAAAAAGGCCACAGCCTGCTTAGAAAGTTGCTGAAAATGCATTAAATTTGATTAAAGAATTCAATATGAAAGAGAATTAATTTGAAATCAGTAGATCCAAGAGGATCTGAGCCTGATACTCCAGATGACATAAAGCTGAGCCAGAGTTCAGCTTGAGTGCAATGGGTTCAGTTGTATAACTCAGATGTCGAGCCTGCTTTTCTGATAGGACTTGTAATCTGGGATAATTGGCCCCTTTCAGGGACTCAGATTAAACCGCATTGCTGTCAGAGGTAATGAACCAGCATATATACAGTTTGACAGTCGAAAAACACACACACTCGCATACCAAGAAAACCTCCTTGTTTTATTGTGATCAAAAGCTTGTTGTAACACTTAATTCATCCACACAATCTACACTGAAATGAAGGAAAAGAACAGTGAACACAGACACAACTATGATTTGTTTCTCCAGTCTCTCTATTGTTTTCTATACTTGATTTTCATTGTCACCTTACAGCACTAGACATTACACACTAACAAAATCTGTAAATCCACAATTAAGGTAAAGATGCATGAAAGTTTTACACCCTGTAGACCCTTTAACTCTGCCTGTGATGACTTTGTTTCCATCAACACAATAAAGCTGTTGCTTACTTTAGCTACTTTTGACCTGTCACATTCAAATGGCTGCATGACAGTCGAAACTGATGTGACTGAGAGTGATACAATGCTTACAGGTTAGCCAAGGCCAATAATAATCTTGGGTTTAAGATCTCAAGATTTATATTCATTCAGTTGTCTCTATTGTCCATATTGTGTTACAGCATTAGCCACTGGAACACAATGAACAGACAGAAGCAACAAAAATTCAGCTAATATACTTTATCAGCAGTGCTGGCGACATATAAAGACGAATCCTGATTGGTGAATGGAAATGCATGACATTCTCTATTTCCAGCTGAGCTCCGCCTATTGCAAACCAGCGAGAAAAGTTTGGGCAAAAATGTAAATGCAGAAAACTCTCATGTGAAATAGCCAAAACTGGTCTAGCTGTGGGGGAAATATAGTCATCATGTAGAAACCCAACTGGTAAGAAGATGAATAAATTATAAGAATTAATTGAACAGGCATATATGAGCATTTTGCAACATAGACCATTGATTTTGTTTTTTTGATGTTTTTTGCTGAAATACTTCAACATTTTAGTCTCAAGGAAAAATATTGGTTTATCTCGTGATTACACAGTTAAGATCACATTCAGGTTGGACTCTTTATCTTAAGGTATTAAAGTGGCTGGTGAATGAATTCTCTGCGGAGGGATTGGCATGCTGCATTTGTAGAAAAACATACAGTAAAAAAAATGCAAAGCAAAGTATTTCTATGGTGAAAGGTTTGTGATCTACAAAGCAGCAGGAAAAAAATCCCATCTGTGGCCTCATGGGTGCTATAATCTGCCAAAGTGCTGAAGGAGAGCTAAACACAATTACTGAGAGCCTGAGGCCATCAGTCCTTTCTCAGATTATCGTTCAGATAGCTGCCTTCTGAGATTTGGTGGACAATGCTGAAGCAGAAGCTGTGAAACATCTATGATTGTACAGCTCAGCTGTGAGGAGACGATATTACGGCTGACAGCAGCACTGCCAAAGATCCTACTAGAGATTTTGCACACATTAAAAGAAACAAAGCCACTGGACAGTTTAACGTGATTCCTGCAAAGCAGCGTCATCCAGTGCTGGTGTACGTGTCACATTGGACAAGACTGAGGAAAAGGGTGATCGTCAGCATGCTTTCATCACAGGAGTCCAAAAGCTAACTGTCAAAGGACTTCAGTGAGGACTTCATGTAGCAGGTGACTTTTAACTGCAATTGGCCTAAAAGTAAATCTGAAAAACATAGCAAGCTTTGTACTTAGGCTCATAGCACGAGCAGCCGCCTGAAAGCGACAGAAGGAAATAAGTTAAACAATCAGTGTTTGCTGAATTGCTGAAGAGGCAAAAGAAGAGAAGGGGACTTTCTGGTGCCGAGTCTGGAGGATGATGAAATACGCCGCTCTGCTGTCCCTGGGGAGCACTGAGGCCAGCCGCTGATACGTGCACACACAGCCACATATGCACACACAGCAAAATCAAACAAACCTGATAGTACAGCGTTTGAATGAATGAGCCCCACATAGAAATGCATATACAGTACTATACAGTACAGCAGGGCTACATGAAGGTGCACAGGGAAAGAGAATGGATTATAGGGGGAGGGGAAGTGGAGTAAAGGAGGAGAAGGGGAAAGAAAGAGCGAGAGGAACAAGAAGGCCGAAGAAGAGAGAGAGAGAGAGAGAGAGAGATAGTAAACCAATTACCATAGGAGTGGAGAAAGCCTTTCATCCCAAAACTGTCACCACACACGCAAATATGCACACTTCTATCTTTTTTTTTCTTTTTTTGCTCTCTCCTGCATACAAATAAAGGATCCACACACACATTGGTCAGACATCTCTCTTTATCACTCACTCACACACATATTCAGAGCTCTCTTCAAACAAATGCACTCTTGATTAAATATTGAAGAGTGCCTGTGGCGAACTGAGCAGAGATACAGTTCCTCTCGTCTCCTATGGACTCTCCTCGTCCATGGAAGAAGAAGAAGTGCCAAAGGAAGGGAAGAGAGCAGAGGAGGCGAGAACAGAGTGGCTTGAGAAAAAGGCAGAATGGGGAAGTTGAGAGTGGAGAGAGTGAAGGATGAGAGGAGTAATGGCAAAGGGGAGAGAAATCAGCAGGGCAGTGATAAAACCACAGGAAAGCGGAAACTGAGAGGAGAAACAGAAGGAAAGGAAAAGTGAGGAGAGAACTGCCATATTCAACTAGAAGCTAAACACAATGTGACAGTTAAGGCTGTATAAAAGAATAAAAAGAAAAGCTCACACCATCAAAGAGCTCACGCTGACCCTTAGTTCATGACAGACATTACAAGACTACCGGCTCCATGGCTCCATGG